ATAGGAAATGATCGATGCTTTTTTTCCAGCTGAGTAACTGAGAACTTACCCTGCATGCCGTGCTTCATCCCGTGACATCAACGTAAAAATCTCCGCAACCACGGGATTTGTTTTCTGCAAGAAAGAGAAGAGCAGAAAGAAAAGAAGTGTAGTAAAGAGGAGAGAAGAGAAGAAAAAAAAGTACCTTGAGCCTTCTTCCCAGCTCCTTGTAGAGCAAAAACCCTGAGACTCGGCCGTGCACGACCTCTCCAAGAACTCCACGAAGATCTTCCTCATCGGCCCCGTGATCTTGTCCGCGGCGGCCTTAAACTCGGGATTTCTCACGAAGTGCGTCTGGTTATAGTCGGCCTTGAATTCCGCCACCAGCGCCTCGAACTCCTCCATGTTGAGCTTCTTGTTGATCTCGGTATTGAAGAGCTGCTCCATCTCGTCGAAATCCGTGGTGTAGAAGCGCGGCGTCAGCAGTGTATCCTTCATCGCCTCCTTGGCGCCCTTTCTTGGGGCCTCTTTCGTGGCGCTGGCCATGATCTTCCTGGAGAACACGATATTTCGGCCCCGATTCGCCTGGAATCCCCTGGAGCTGCCAAGAAATCCTCCCACCTTTACATTACCGACGCTCGCCGCCGACATTGCTGCCGCCATCGCGCCCGCGCTTCGTCGAGAAAATGTAGCTCTTGTTTCTCGAAGAGCTCCACAAGAGTGATGAAATCCCGATAGGTATTTAGGGCTGCTGACGTGTACCAATCACTGCTTGAGTATCTTGCTGACATGGACCAATTGCAAAAGGATGGCGTTTTCCGACGTGGCGCAGTGGAAGCCACAAGTTTAATTTTTAACTTCGATAAACCCAAGAGCTCTACAATCGCTTTTTTTTTCTTTGCTTGCTTGTCAATGTGATAATCTCTCTCTGGAGCATTGAAACTAATATTTTCCACTAGATCAAGCAAATCAATGCTATCCAAAGGCGTATTTACCTGTAAGTGTTTTTAATTTGAGTAAGCAAGCTAGAGAATTGTCACAAGAAAGTTAGTTAGGTCAAGGCCTACTCATTGGCATGGCTCATCAGTCTATTGTCTGGCTTAGATTGTGGACTCCAGCCAACAGCCAACGATGCTACTTTGTGACAATATTAGCGCTATTGCTCTTTCAGCTACATCCAAATTCATGACCGGTGCTCAGTGGTCGAACAGAATTGGAGGAGAATAACACCCGGAGATAATGGAGCTGGATGTGCTTGGTTCGGTCATGAAACTTAGATGTAGCTGAAAGAGCAATAGTGTTGATGTTGTCACAAAATAGCATCGTTGGCTAGAGAGGAAAATGTCCAATCTCTATGAGCAACAAGCTAAGCCAGACAGCTTCCTTGCACGCCGGCAGAAGACAGAGCTGTGATGCTTTGTTTCCTGCTCCTCCATATTAAAGTTGAGGCATCAGATGTGGATTTTCTTGTATCATTGTCACCGGCTCAATCAGAACCTCGCAATTGGAATTACTCATCTGGGACACGGAGAGTATTTAAGCGCCAAGGCGGGTACAGATAACCAGATAATAAGGCTTCCAACTGGTGCACGATACCAAATACTCTTATGGATGTGCGCTCAGCTTCAGTGGTCGGAGACTGAGATGAGCAAAGCTGAAGATTAAGTTCCATGGGAGTGGAAACTGGAATACAGTCATGCATATTAAACCGTTTCAGAATTCCTTCCTCATAGCGCTGAGCAGATGATCTCGGCAATATTAAGTTTTGTCTTGGTCTTAATATTGGGACAATTCATCCCTCACAGCACTGTGAGTGAGCAATGAATTGTCCCAGTATTAAGACCAAGACAGAACTTAATATTGCCGAGATCAATCTACTCTTAGATCATTTGTAGAAAAGCAAGACATTTTGTGACCAGGATCAAATCATCAATATATAAAGCAATAAGGACCATCATCTTTTCATACTGGTATACATTTTGATCAGCAGCGTTTCTGGAAAATCCAATGAAGCTGAGAAACCTTAGGAGATTGTTTGAGCCTTCAGGGGACAAACCATTCCAGGCTGCTTCTGGTAACCCTCTGGTTGCTGGACAAAATTTTCTTCAGGGAGATCTCCGTGCAAATATCCAAATCCAAATCGAAGAAAGTTTTCCAGACGATGGTTTCAGGATCAACTCCTCTTCTTTTCTTTGTTTTCTTGTTTTTTGTGTGAAGGTTTTTGCGTTGATCAACCGGGATTCTACACTTTTGCGCCTCAGCATGGTTTCAATACCGCCGCCACCAAGCTGATTCATCATGTCCTCTTTGGGATGCTGAGATGCCAAGTGGTTTTCAGCTGAAGATGGGTTTCAACCGAGGGATGGCGCGATCCTTGAGCTTCTTGTGCCCGGGCCCAATCTTCCTGTTGAGGCTGTGGCCAGTTACCTGGGCGAGTGCTCTTTAGAGAACAAACTTTGATAAGTCGGTTTTCTTCAAGAGCTCTCCAACAGCATCTCTTACTTTCTGCGAAAGAAAGAAACAAATAGAACCATGAATTCGTCAAGCGATCGATGAAACTTACTTGCTTGTCAATGTGATAAGCTTGCCCAGCTCTTTCTGGAGCATTGAAGCTAATATCTTCTACTACCTTCTCAATTACCTGGATCAAACAAAACCAGTGGGAACATTTCGCTATTGAGGAAGAAAATGCGTTACCGTGTGAAGTCTCCGAGCACCAATGTTGTCCAAAGAAGTATTCACCTGTAACGTGTTTTATTTTTCAGCAATGAGTAAGCTAAGAAATCCCCACAAGAACACTTGCCTCAGCCGCAACATTGGCTAGTTCCTTTATGGCGTCGTCGGAGAAAACAAGCTCCACACTTTCGGTAGCCATAAGAAGCTGTTGTTGCTTGATCATATTTATTTCAGGCTCGGTTAGAATACGGTACAAATCCTGGAAAGAATGGCTGTTAGCATGGTAGAGATGCTGCAACACTTCCAGCGCGACTTACCGTGCGAGTGAGACCTTTCAGTTCAACACGGATAGGCAGACGTCCTTGTAGCTCAGCAAGCATGTCACTTGGCTTACAAGAGTGAAAGGCGCCACTGCAAATGAAAAGAATGTGATCGGTGTTCACATTCCCGTGTCTCGTGTTTACAACGCTGAAAGGAGGACCAGCTTAGCACGGAAGGAAAACCAACGTGGTAATAATTTACCTGCCTTCGATAATAGGAAGCAAGTCCCGCTGTACACCTTCCGCACTTGCATCCGCTCCAAATCTGGCTTCGCTAGTTGTAACGATTTTGTCGATCTCGTCTATAAATACAATGCCGTCAGACTCCGTTGCCTGCAAGTGGAAGCCATTAACATCCAGGGAAACGAGACCAAAAACACTAGCGTGTACACGTATTGCATCTTTGATGATCTGATCGGACTGAAGGTGTTTTTCGACTTCCATTTCCGAGAGCATTTGTCTGGCCTCGGCGACAGTTACTTCACGGCGTTCGACTTTCGGGGATTTCAAAGCTTTCTCTATCTAGAGGAAATCGAGACGTCAATACCAATTCCTTTCATGCAGAGGCGTAGTACCTTGAAAATAAGATCGTTTATAGGAAGACCACCTCCTGTGACTTCAATAGGGACGCGCACTCTTCCTCCCTCGGGAACGTCCAGCACTAGCTTGCGGTTATCAATTTCCCCTTTCTTATAAGCCTTGCGTAGTGTCTCCAATGAACTCGTATCCACATTGTCCTCCTGCTAAAACATGTTCAGCCACAGACAGACCAAAAAGCCGCAAAAACAAAAACCTCAATAGCGAGGGTCAAACCGATCAACGCGTCCAGGATCCTGTTCTCAACAGCTTCCTCCACCTCTTTTGAAATTCTGGTTCGCACCTGAAAGAAGAGAGTTGAAAAAACTCGCTTTGTTGAGTTTTAAAACACCTTTTCTCGTTGCAGTAATATAGCATTCTCAACAAGGTCCCGAATGATCTGGTCCACATCTCGGCCATGAAATCCAACTTCTGTAAATTTCGTAGCTTCCACCTGTTAGAAAATATGAGTTAAAAACAAACGAAGAATAAAAACACTTCCTCACTTTTATAAACGGAGCATCCGCCATTTTAGCCAACCGTCTCGCAATTTCCGTTTTCCCGCAACCAGTTGGTCCGATCATAAGTATATTTTTGGGAAGAATCTCCTCTCGATATTGAGAAGGAATACGGTGTCGCCGCCATCGATTTCCTGCGTGCAGACGGCTCAAGAACTTCAGTACAACAGAATCTAGAAACTTACACGCAAAAAGCAACCAAGTTTCTAAAAGAAGGCATGAAAGAAGAAGTGAAAAAAAAAGAAAGAGAAAATTCTAGTGCACCACCTATGGAGTCAGATAACAGGCAGCAGCAAAGGCTGACGAGCGCGTACGCAATGCCACTGCAACCGCACGCTTGGCTCCGGTTTGGCCGACGATGTGACGATCCAACAAAGCTACGACTTTCGCGGGAGTGAGTGCCTCAGCCGACAAGAGATCGTCTGCTGCACGAACAAAAAAGAAACAAGAAAATTTTTTTTACAAAATTCAAACGCAAGAAGAGTAGAAAATTGCCAGCTTACATGGTGGTCTAGCTGAAGGCTGCGGCGATAAATCATCGATTGTTTCAGATGGCTGCGCTGTCGCAGAGCTGAAAGGAACGAGAAAGGAATAAATCAGTAGCAAAAATGAGGCATTTCAAGCTCCAGCCAGCCTCGAGAGCATTGCTACATAGGCAAAAAAATCTCGAAAATTCAAGCATTCTAGCGCAAAAACACGAGAAATTCCAGCCCCGAGAAGGATGTGGAGGGACTTACGCGTAGAAGCGGCGAAATCTCGAGGACAAAAGGAGAGCGCGCCCGCCCGGCGCCCTAGCTCGAGCGCACCAGCTCATTTTTTTCTTTTGCCTCGTTAGCCCTAAGACGTGGACGGAATATACCCCGCCTTGCCCTTCCCAAATCCAAATCTAACGGCTGTCAAGTCCAGAAGCGCCGGCGGCCTACCATTCAAAAATGTAAGCTTGTTGACTCGTATGATCGCGTTGAATCGCCGCCGTTGGGCTGGTCACATCGAACGGCTGTGGTTGTGCAGCAGATAAAAGCCCAACCCTAGCTCAAGAAATTGTGGGCATTCGATCGATCGTGCGCCATGGATTGCGTCTTGGCGCCTTCGGCAGGGACATCGTCCTCGAATTTCGTGGAGCTCCGCGGCGGCGATGGATTCCGGAGGCTGGGATTCTCTCGTGAGGAGCTGCATTTTGGGAGGCAATCGCGCATCAATCTCGTCTCTTGCAGGAATCCGTCGCAGATTCATCATCGCGCCAGGCGCCCGGTGGTGCTGCTGTGCTCGCAGAACGCGAATGTAGCTGGTATGTGCCGAGAATTTCTCTCGAATTTCGAGAACACGTTTTTTTCGTCTGATCGATTTCTCTCTCGCAGCCACAGAATCCACCAGCGTCGATACAGCTCTAAAGGTGCGATCCATAGGTTCCTTTTGTGTTCTTCTTTTCCTCTTAATGCTAAGTGGACGACCATACATTCTCAGAGCAAAGGCAAGGAATTGGCCAGGGACCTCAAAGGGACGTGCCTGTTTCTAATTGGTACCACTTCGCTTTTCTCTCTCGTTCTCCTTTCTCTTTCTCTTTTTCTTTAACACAACTTCGTTTTCTCGTCCACAGGGATGATGGGCAGTGGAAAGAGTACTGTGGGAAAGCACTTGTCGGACGCGCTCGGGTACTACTTCTTTGACAGGTTGGTGTATCTCGTTTTTTTCTTTCGATTTGCTTCGTCGCACCACTTGATGGACTTTCTTCGTGGAGAAACAGTGACAAGCTTGTTGAGCAGGCCGCCGGCGGCGCCAGTGTAGCTCAGATCTTCAAGCAAAGCAACGAGGAAGGCTTTCGCGATGCTGAGGTGAGTGATCCCCACTGTCTTGTGGCCTTGAAACGTGTCTATCTTCAGTGTCTGATGTTTTTTCTATTGTTTTGTGGATAATGTAGAGTGAGGTTTTAAGCCAATTATCTGGGATGTATCGATTGGTAGTAGCGACAGGAGGAGGTGCTGTGGTGAGACCACAAAACTGGTAAGATAAGATAGTCGTTTTCTCTCTATAATCGAGAGAAGAGGATAAGAACGCCTTGTGGTGTCGTTGTCAGGGGTTATATGAGACATGGGATCACTGTCTATCTGGATGTTCCATTGGACGCATTAGCCAAGCGTGTTGTGGCTGCTGGGACGGAGAAGAGACCACTTCTGGGAGAGCCGCAGCGAGAGTTTGCTCATGAACAGGTATAGCTTGAAAGCATTCTTATCTTTTGTCTTATATTTTAATTTTCTGGTCATTGTTATTTGCAGACGTTAGCTCGATTAACAAAGCTTTACGAGGAGAGAGGCATGGCTTACAAGAACGCTGACGTTTCCGTGTGCCTAAAGAGTAAGTTTTCTAACAAAGATGGTTTTCTTATCGCTCACATCCTTTGCATGCAGTGATTGCGAATGAGATGAATGCCAAGGACATATGTGAACTTACTCCGTCAATAATCGCTGTGAAGGCAAGTTAACTGCATTAATCTTGGTTTTCTCTTTCATTGTCTCAGGAACTCACAAGAACATTTTTCTTGCAGATCATGGAACGAACTCAAGAACTCATCAGGAGCCAGAAACATTACGGATCGCCGAGAATTGGACTGTTTTAACATGTAGACAGAAGAACCCTCAGCTGCACACTTGTGAATACAGACTGCAAGAAGAATTGCTGTGAGCTTTTAGCTATAGTGAAAAGACATTTTTGGTAGTATCAACATTGTCTTGATTCATTGCAATAAGATCCAGGCCAATGTAAGAAAAAGAAAACGCGATTATCAGAGGGAGGTTTCGATCCTCCGACCTGTGGGTTATGGGCCCACCGCGCTTCCGCTGCGCCACTCTGATGTTTGCAAAATATTTAAAATGTACAAATTTTAAGCGTCTGGCTAGGTCAGGACACTAACGTATATGGGCCCACCAGGCTTCTAATTCAAGTCAACGATAGTCAATTATAATCAACAACACACTACAATCTGATTATCAATTAGTAGTGGCATGGATGTTGGAGAGCATCACGTATGGCAGTGACGATTCCCCTGGCTCAGTATCCACCATGCTTAGCGCCGCTCGAGCTCCTCCATGGACGCTTCCTTGGCTGCTACAAGCGCTCAAGAGCGCTGTCCACACTCCACTGTCGGCCTTGAACGGCAAGCTCTGGATGAAACTCTCGGCCGCCTCGAGCTGGCCTGATCGGCCCAGAAGATCCACGACGCATTTGTAGTGATCCTCATGCGCACCGATGCCAAAGTCGTCGCGGATCGATGCGAAGCAAGCGAGGCCGTCGTGGAGGAGCCCGGCGTGGCTGCAAGCCGAGAGGACCGAGACGAGAGTGATCTTGCTGGGCGGGGCCTCGCCTTCCAGGATCATCACCGCGAAGAGCTCGAGAACTTGCGAGCTATGCCCGTTTTGTGCATAGCCCGCGAGCATCACGTTCCACGACACGGTGTTCCTCGTCGCCATTCTTGCAAAGACCATCTCGGCCTCCTCGATGCTAGCACCGCATTTCCCATACATGTTGAGCAGCGAATTCCCCAGCGCCAGCCCTCGATCGTCCTCAATCTCGCCGTGGATGATGCGGCCAAATCGCAGCCCCGAGGAGGAGATCGAGGAGCAGGCGTCAAGAACAGCAGTGAGGGCTGCCTCTTTCGGCCTCACCCCGGCCAGATCCATGAGCTGGAATCGACGGATCGCTTCTCTTCCCTGCCCAGCTCGCGCGTGGGCACCCACGATCGACGCCCACGACACGGGATCCGGATCATCGATCGTGGTGAACACGCTCATCGCCTCCTTGATGTGCTGCCCGGTGAGGGCATACGCCGCGAGCATGGTGTTGGCGGCGAGCACCGACTTGATTGGGATCCTCTCGAAGACATCCTTGGCCTGATCCAACATATCGCGGCTCACGAATCCGCAGAGAAGAGTGTTCCAAGAGATCTCGTTCTGGATCGCCGGTGGCATTGCTTCCAGCAAGCCCGCTGCCTCGACTAGATGCCCGTTTTCGGCATACGCGGCGATCATCGCGTTCCAGGAGCTCGCGACGTGCTTGTGATGATCCGGGCGCTGATCGAAGAGAAATTTGGCTTCTTCAACACGGCCACTGTGAGCGTAGGCCGTGATCATAGAATTCCACGCGACTGGGTCCTCCTGCCGCGATCTATCAAAGAGAGCTTTTGCATCATCCACAAGCCCCATCGCGGCAAATCCCGATAGCATCAAGCTGCAAGTAAAGGCATCTGGATCTGGCATTCTCTGGAACAAAATCCTTGCTTGATCGATTGAGCCAGCGTCGCAGTAGCCCTGTATCATGATGTTCCAGGCTATGGCGTCCGGGTGATGGATCGTATCAAAGATCTCTCGGGCATGATCGATATGCCCTGTCTGGGCATACGCGCGAATCATTGTCGTGAGCGTGACGAGGGTCTTGGGAGCGATGGCGTCGAACATCTCTTTCGCGGAGACAATATCTCGGTGACGGACGTATGCCTGGAGCATCGAATTCCATGCGACGGTGTCCTTTTCGGGCATCTGATCGAAGAAATCTCTCGCGAGATCCAAATCCCCGTACTGGGTGTGACAGGATATCAGAATCGTGAAGGAGATCATGTTGCGGTGGGGCATTTTCTCAAGAACCTTTCGCGCATTTACAAGCTCGTCCTTGCTCGAGTGCGCCTGGATCAGGAAATTCCACGACATAACGTTCTTCTCTGGGATTTGCTCGAAGAGACCCACGCATTTCTCGCGATGCCCGTTCTTGGCATACGCGGCCAGGAGCAAGTTCCAAGTGTGGCTGTTCTTCGTCTGCCGGATGCCCGCAAACGCCGATCTAGCATCGTCCACGCTGCCGCAATTGCCATACGCCTTGACGAGGAGATTTCCCAGGAATCGATTCCCATGGAACTCTGCCGAGGCGGAGATGTGCGCGTCGATCCGCCGCGTCTCGGGCAGCGCCCTCAAATCCGCGCACTGCCGGAGGAGGCGGGCGTAGACCTCGTCGCAGCGCACACGATCGCAGAGCTCCAGCTCCTCAATCGCGGCTCGCAATCCTCTAATGTCGCTGTCGTGACCAGTGCCGCTGCTGGAAGCAAATCCCTTTCGATGTTGGCGAGTGATCGTGGCGCGATGGCGACGCGCGCGCAGCATCAAATCCCTCTTGACACATGAACCCTAAAATTCAAATTCAAAAATTCGCTAGCCTTAAAGTTCAAATTCAAAATTTTGAAATATCTGCTAGTTTACGCGCGAACGCGAGTAAGGCGTTAAAGTCCCCCCACAAGCGTTTGTGGCGCTTGGCCAAGGATTCCATACAGGAATCCCGTTACTCAAAAAAACCCCCACACACGCCCAAGGCCAGCGCCCGCGCGTGGTAGAAAGAAGAAGAAGAAAAGAGAGAATATCACGCGTTCCAAGGGTTTCACAAGTTAGCGTGATTCTTGGACTACTTGATATCTAGGGCTCCACTCCATTCCATGAGGTCCAAAGCTTGGGTCCGTGATTCTTGGACTGGTCTAGGGTTCCCTCCCTGGCCACACAAAGCTCGCCATGTCCGTCCATTAAAGAGAAGGCAACGCTGTGTATATATGCTGACGATAGACACGAGGCTAATGGCGACTTTTAAGCTTCTCGCCCCAAATGGTCGCTATCTAGGGATGCTGTTCGTCGCGGGCGAGCATCTTTTCTTCCTTTTTCTTGCTATTGTAGTGCCAGGCTGCTTGGCGATATCGACAAAGGAACCGAATCGCGAAAGCGATGTGGGAGCAGTGGAGAGGACTGGAACCCGGGACCACCTTGTGCCAGGGGCTGAGGGGAAAGATCCGGGGATCGAGCCCGGCCAATGTGCTGGTGGTGGGCGGCTTTTCGCGCTTTTGTTATATGACATGGGCCTCGGGACGCGCGTGACGTGGACGCGTAGGAGGGAGCTTGTGGCGGGCGATGGCCGGGCGGACGTGGCACCACGTCGGTGTACGGCCGTTATCCAGACAGGACACAACCAACTTTCCACTACTTAGACCATTGTTAGATTGGATTAATGGAAATTTCAAAGATTGCGGATGGAACCCCGTTGAGAAATTGTCTGAGACATTGCGGGTGATCGAAACTATAGCCTCCGTATCTTTGAAGGTTAGATGTGGAGGTTTGACTAAACAAAATTCTCTTTGCGACATCCACCTATCCATCAATCCCAATCCATTGTCTCCAAGTGTGACCCCGGGTGGAGATGCCACCTTTGTCCACCTCTTTGTCTGATTGTGTTCTTGTGTGTGGAAGTGTGTGAGTGACAAGAACGTTACTTAGAACAGGCAGATCGGACCACGTATAGCAGATGCCTTTGATCCGGCATTTGCCGATTCGAGGGAATGCCAACCACGTCACAACCACGCAAGTGCTGGCAACGTATTTGTACACTTGATTCCATTTTTTGTCGCCGGGGACAGCGAAAATGCCCAAACATGTCATGTACAGTCCAGCCCGGACGTACGGATGCCCAGTACCCGAGCGTACGGAGTATCACACGTTTTATATAAGATTTCTTCCATCTTCCGGGACAGGATAGGTGTAAACTAATCCGCCCTGCGCTCCGATTTGTTTACAAGTCACAAGATTCAAGTTAGATCTCGCAGTCGTCGTTTTCCATTCGAGTTTCAGATCCAAAGAACAGAGAGCTTCTTCTCGAATAAATTAGGTCTTTTCTTCTTTCTTGAAGAAGGATGGAACTGGGGGCATTAAGTTTGACGTGACGATGGGAATATTCGCGGGATGCGAATCTAGTGACAGCACTCCAAAAGGCTGCTGTCCTCGGTTGTCACCTAACTGTCACCACGACTCCACGAAACGCAATGTCATGTTTGTGGCCTTCTCTTGTTGTGGATAAGGTTTTAACCTTAAGTTACTGTGCTCCTTCGCCAGTTCGATCTTATCCATGGGGGCGCGAGGTAAATGCCGTACCCAACCCACCTCGTGTTTTGCGTGCGCACGCGCATCCACGTACGGCACGGGTGCCATTGGCCGGGATCATATTCGTTGCCGGGTTCGATTCCGCGGGAGCTTGACCTAGCTGGCTGTTGAATCTTGACCCGCAAGAGAACGCCACCTACATTTGTGTCCAGGGCCGGCTCTCAACCGCAAGACACGCACATATACGGTGTTTAAAACACCATGTATAATTGTTGTTGTGGATAGATAAGGGAGGTGGCGTCGTTGTGCCCCACATGGTTTTGTCACATGGAGTGTTTCACTGGGCTAGTATCAATCAAACCCACTGGTCAAGCATCCCCACTCGATCAAACCAAACGACACTGCCACAATACTCTAGCTAGCCGAGATGAATTTGCGTATAGACACCCGGCTGCGTGCGTTGCCACATCGCGCCAGTGACTAAGCGTACTGGCGGCGAGCAATACCGTAGTTACACGAGTCAACCCCCATCGCCACAAAAAAAATTCGAGAGACGCAAGAGAAATTTGGCTGTGTGTGGATCCTAGACTGACACTGCAAGCATCGCCACATTGTTAAGTTTTGGTACCGTGGAGGAAGAGGCCATCGCGACAGAGAGAGCTTCGATAGGATCCAAACAAAAGGTGGTGGGTATATAATGCCCTAGGAAGCCACTGGGGTTTCTCCGCGCATCGGTGCTCTCGTATCGCTCGTTCGTTTGGTCGCACACACGCAGCCACCTAATTCCAGTGCGCCCGCATCACAGGCGTTGATCTAGGCGAGGCATCAACCGCCGGCTTGAGGTATATCCCTTTTCTCCCATTTTTTCCTCCTTTTAATCCTTTAATAAAACTTTTTGATTTATTTGATTTATGACTGGAGCTCCCTATTCACACTGGGCGGGCGCATGGCGGTCCCAAATCCCGTGGTGAGCCAGGTCGTCCATTTCTCTTCCCCTGTTTATCATTCTTCGTGCTCTCCGTGTGCTTCGTCTCCGCCTCGGCGCCTCTTCTCCTCCTCCGCCACTCCTCCTCCTCGCGCCCGATCATCCTCCTCGCCCGCTCTGCTGTTGGTGATAATGCTCGCACGGCTGCCGCATCTCATCGCCGCATCGTCGTCCTCGCCATCGCCATCGGCAGCAGCCTACCCTAGCGCCACTGCGTCGCCGCCGCCGCCCTCGGCATCCGCGGTAGCATCGGGCCTCCAGTCGCTGCGGCAGGGCGGATTCGTCACGGGGGAGGAGCAATCGGCGCAGCCGCAGCTTCAATCCAGCGGCCGGGCCCTCGGATCTATCTCGGCCATGGAGGAGATCCCTTGCTGCAATGGTTGCTACCGCACGCCCGTGGTGATGAGGAATCACACGGATTTGGAGTCGTTCTTGGTGATGATCCAGAACGCGGCGCTCCAGGTGGAAGGGGATCACGACTTCGACCCTAAGGTCTATGTAGATCTGCCGCTCAAGCACTCGCTGCCATCGACCAAGGAGGCGTTCGTCAGTCTCTTCCAGAACAACAACGGTAGCGTCGACACAGGCAAGAAATCTTCCCTCTCTTTCTCAATTTCGTGGTGGAATTCGATGCATTGTGTTCGTTCTCTCGCGATCTAACACCCGTTTGGTTTCTTTTCTTGGCGCAGGCGAGTTTAACCATTTCCTTAACGAGTTCTGTGACAAACCCGGGAGCGATCTCCTACCCGACAACCTCACCGATTTTAAGAACGAGCCAGAGGGGTTCCTCGCGAATGTTACAAATCCCGCGGCTCGCGACTTTGCGCTCAAGATGCATTCGCTGTGGTGGCTCTTGGCGAGGAAAGTTAAGGAGAGGGTGCACAAGGATCCACACCAGCACACTCTGATACCTCTTCCAAATCCAGTCGTCGTTCCCGGTGCCAGATTCAGGGAGGTTTACTACTGGGATACTTACTGGATCGTCAGGTTGGTCTAGAGTTTTTCTCGCGTTTTTCTTTTTGTGTTCTTCCTCAAAAGTGTAAATCTCTCTTGGTTTTTCATTTTTTTCTTGCAGAGGTCTTCTCGTGAGTAAGCTCTACGAAACGGCCAGGAATGTCGTGGAGAATCTGATGTTCCTTGCCAATTCTTTTGGATTTATTCCAAATGGTGCTCGCACCTATTACACTAACCGTAAGTTTCCTAAACGCCTCGCAAGTTATGTGGTTAACTCATGCGTTTTCTTGACTTGACAGGAAGCCAACCCCCGCTGCTTAGCGAAGCCGTCATGGCCATCTATCATGAGACCAAGGACGTTTCGTTTGTGGAAAAGGCATTCCCGGCTCTTCTCAAGGAGCATAACTTTTGGTGTGCTGGTGAGTTTTTGTTGGTTTTATAATCCGTCTTGCCTTGTTTCGCTGAACGTTTTCGGTGATCCAGATCCTCACCGAGTTCATATCCGTGACGCAAACGGTGTTGAGCATGTGTTAACAAGATATTATGCTATGTGGGATGAACCACGGCCCGAATCTTCCACTATTGTAAGATCACAATCTCTTTCTAACCCGTTCTTAATTATTGTTTTTGTCTTCACAGGACATGCAAATTGCGAAAGGTTTGGAGCGACACCAGCGAGCTGAGCTTTATCACCACATTGCCACTGCTGCTGAGAGTGGCTGGGACTTCAGCTCTCGCTGGATGGAGTGCGTCTAAATGCTTTTTGTGTCTTATCTGATTTCTAATCCCGGTTCTCTTCCCACAGGGATCGTCACAATCTTAAAACGATGAAGACGTCTTTCATCCTGCCAGTGGATCTAAACGCGTTTCTTGTACAGGTAACAACAGCGATGGTTAAGTATTTGCGACTAAATAATTTGTATTTGCTTGGTTGCGCATTCAGATGGAAAACAACATTGCTCTTTTTGCGAAGTTGCTTGGAAAGTCTGACTATGAGAAACACTTTTATAAGCTTGCAAACTCTAGAAAGATTGCAATGGACGCCATTCTATGGAATGAAGAGATGGGTCAGTATCTCGACTACTGGCTCGTCAAGCGAAACGCTACAAACAGCGCCGCCAATTACAAGGCATTTGAGGTACCTTCTAAACCCGAAAAACCTCTAAAAGGGGGCCATAAGCCATCAGGGAAGAGGCTCCATCTCTTCCGTGATGGCTTGTGGCCCCCTTTTTTTTTTTTTTTTTTTCCGTGAGACGTGGTCATTGATTTTGTTGCTTTCACAGGTTACGTACGACTTTCTCCCAGAACATCACAACACTGACGCTTACCCGTCCAACTTTATACCTCTTTGGTGCGGCGTTGTTCCACCAGGTAAAAAGAATTTCCCAAGTGCGATGGTTTCTCATAAAGAAATCTTTTGCTGCATACAGGCGATAGGAAAATCCAAAAAATGATAGCGTCGTTCAAAGAATCGGGACTGCTGCTACCAGCTGGGATTACGACCTCGCTTTTACAAACAGGACAACAATGGTGAGAACAGTGGAGTTGTTTGCGGAATCCCTGGTGCTAATCTGTGTTGCTTTGCTTCAACAGGGATTACCCAAATGCTTGGGCTCCTCTTCAACACATGATCATAGAGGGCTTTGCGCTCACTGAGAACGAAGAAGGGATTGCTCTGGCCAAGGATATCTCTAGACGGTGGTTGGAGACGAACTATGTAGGATACCTGGAGACTGGAGAGATGCAGGAGAAGTACGATGCTCGGTACTGTGGTAAAGTTGGATCGGGAGGAGAATACTTGCCACAGGTAAGCTAAAGTTGTTTTCTCGAAGTTCTTTCTAAGAAGTTCTTGTGTTCGTGTTCTAGGCTGGATTTGGATGGAGCAATGGTGTGGTGCTGAGCCTGTTCGAGAGATTTGGATGGGCCGCTGAGAAGAAATTGACCTGCGAGTGAGCCTTCTTTTTTCCACAGAGGAGAGAACGACACGATATTCTTTCTGATACTTGACGACGAGACGAGACGAGCGAGGCGCCAGACGATACGACGATGAAGAAAAAAGACGTGACAATGGGAAGATTCAAGCCCAAAACCATACAACAACAACAACAACAACAACACAAGTGATCAGAGTGAAAGGGAAAAGATTTGTGGGGGAGGAGAAATAAAAATCATTTTTGTGGAAGAAAGACACCAATTTCACATTTGTGAGCTAGATGCAAATAAAACAAAGATTTGGTTTCTATATTCGTTCTTTTAGTCTGGGCTTTAGGGTTTATGTGAATGCTCGTTCTTGGCGCGCTCGCGGTGGAAAGCTGCGCGCTTCGCGATGATGCTCGCGCCGCAATGCCGATTTCTCCCAGTGTATGGGACGCTGATGCGCTGCCGTGGCCGGCTGCGCGGTGGATTCAGGATTTCTTGCGTGTCGGCTCTCCATTTCTCGGGGCTTAACGACGAGCAGGAGGCGGCCGTGACAACCACAGAGAAATGCGTGCGCGTTGTCGCGGGTCCGGGCTCCGGGAAGACGCTGGTTCTCACGCATCGCATTGTGCACGAGATCAAGCACAACACAATCGATCCGGAAAATATTTTGGTACGTAAAAATGTAGGCTTTGAAGTTCCTGAAAGTGGAATTTTCTAGTGCATTACATTCACAAACAAAGCTGCGCAAGAAATCCGACACCGGATTGGGTCCTTGGTGGGGATTGATGCTGCGAGAAAAATCACGGTAAGGAAGAATGGTGTTTTTCTTTTGTTTCCTTCTTGATCTTTTTTTCTTAGATATCTACGTTCCATAGCTTTTGTACGAAGCTTTTGAAGCAGCTTCTTCCAGACATAAAGCCCGAGTCTGGATTAAGCCAGGCCTTTGTTATCTATGACGAAGCTGACTGTGAGAAGATTCTCAAAGATATATATGTGAAGGTACGGTGATACTTGGAAATGGTATGTAACATATTCACGTTTGATGTTTTCAGGTAGCTGAGGGTCACTTATCCGAATGCAACTCCGGTGCTTCCAAATGGGGCCTTCTTAATCTTTTCGGTGGCTTGGAAATTTCCAGCCACACATCCACCGATAAAAAACCGGTTCACTTTCGCATACCTTCGGAGGACTTGAAGCGAGGACTTTTTCTCATGAGATTAGCCAAAGGCTGGTACCTGGAGAGGTTTGTTGCGTTAAAGCGCTGCAAAGACCTTCCGTCCCGCCCGAAGGTTCTAACCGACGATGTCAGCAAGCTTTTGCATATGTTTGAGGTGCTTTCTACTTTCTCTTCGGCACGTCTTATTTTTCTTGTCGCAGGAACATCTAAGAGCGAACAATGCGGCTGACTTTGACGATTTGATCTATTTGACGATTATGGAGCTTCATCGGACTCCGTCAGCTCGAAAGGTTGGACTCTACTCTGAAACACGCTGATTGTGGAACAGTGTTTGCCAGCGTCTGGAGCAAAGGTCGTTTGTTGATTGAGCGATTGTTTCGTTTTCTGATTTGATTTGATTTTTCTTTGTTGCTGTCAGAGGTTCGAGAAGCGATGGTCTTACGTGCTTGTCGACGAGTTCCAGGACACAGACAAGGTACCAACAGGATCGTTCGTTATATGTTTCTGAACGCTTCGATACAGGCCCAGTATGAGCTTATCCGTTTACTCTGCTCTGAAAATCAAAATCTTTTCGTGGTCGGTGACATCGATCAGGTAGTCACAGCCGTGTTGAATTTTTGCAACTTTTTGTTGACATTGTCCGTGGTGTAGGCAATATATGGTTGGCGAGGTGCTGAGTCACGAAATATGCAATATCTCCTGGGTAACGACTTCCCGCAGATAGCTACTTTTCAGGTAATTTATGCAAAACTTTTTAGTTACTTTCGACATTTTACATCACCTACAGCTGCGGAAGAATTATCGATCATCTAAGGCTATTCTCAGTGCTGCTTCGAAAATAATCGGAAACAGTATGATGAGTCGTCGCATTGGACAATTAGAAGCTCTGAAGCCTATCTCCATTAAGGTAAGAAAAATAATACGATAATGCGATATAACTTTTTGAACTTTACAGCCCTGGACGGCACCTGTAAAGGTCTGCTGGCTGAGTGACCCCACTGAAGAAAGTCGTTTTGTTGCCGATGAAATCATTCGAACCAGGAAAGATAGATGGAGCGACTGTGCGGTGCTCTATCGAACTCACAGACAGGTATCTCGCGTTTTTCTTTGTTATTTTCCAGCAATCAGTTTCTTTTATGCAGAGTTTTCTTCTAGAATCAGCATTAATCAAGGCAAATATACCATACAAGCTGCTAGGAGCAACTCCACTGTTTTCGCACAAGGTGATAAAGGACCTTCTCAGCTACTTGAAACTTATTCACAATAGTAATGATGAACTCGCTCTGGCACGTATTATCAATACGCCACCTCGGGGTAAGTTACGTACCGTGTAACTTGTCGCTAACCAGTGAGTGGGCTAATACAGGAATTGGTGAGAAAACAATTTTCCATCTCAAACAATGGGCTTCGGAACGAGATCTACCACTTTTCAAAGCGTTACTGGTACAGGCTCGTTGACATCTCTTGTGATTCTTAAAGAAGTTTTTTTCAGAAACTCAAAGAGGATGATCCTGGACACAAGCACTTGGGAATAACAGCGAAGGCAAAGTAGAATCCACATTTGGCTGATTATTTTTTAGGCGCTTATGTCGTGCTTGTCACAGAACGGCAGTTTTGAGCTTTTGTGAGCTTCTAGAGTCGCTGACGAAGCTCAGTGAAAAGGAGTCCTCTGCTAACTTGCTTCAGGCTGTAATTGACAAGTAAGTTCGATTCTTTACGAGATTATCTGAGACCACGGGCTATATACAGGACGCAGTTTATTAAATACTTGGAAGAGCACACGGAAGATCAGAGGATCTTTGAGAAAAGATGTCAAGTCGTGGAACAGTTCAAGGTGTAGTTTTTCGTTTTTATTTTCGAATGTTGGCTTGAATTATTGAAGTGCAGGAAAGCGCAGATTCTGCCGAAGGCAAGCATGGGAAGGGGCGTCGTGCCCTGGCCGGCTTCCTTGAAGACGTCATGCTAATAACCTCTGATGACAAGGTAAATGTATATAGCCTTTCAAGTGCTGCAAAGCTTAAAGTTAGCTTTCTACAGGAAACGAACAAGGAACACGTTGGCTTGCTGACGCTCCATGCCTCAAAGGGAATGGAGTTTCCCTGTGTCTTCATAGTCGGTGTCAATGCGGGAATCTTGCCACACGAAAACTCGGACCCCGAAGAAGAGCGACGGCTGTTCTACGTTGGAATCACCCGTGCGAAAGAGCAGTTGTGAGTAAACTAAACTCTTGTTTCCGATCCTACGCTGATTGATCGTTTTTTAATTCAAGGTATCTCACACACACTCATTCTCCCGAGGCTCCCCACGAGAAAAGCTTTCCAGGCAGCCTGTGTAAGCGGCAAAGAATGTCTGCGTTTTTGGACGAGATTATCTCCAGCGAGCCTGTGGAGTTGTATCCCAAGTCGTGGACGGGGAAATTCGCCCAAGGAAAAGCTCTGTCCATGACAAGTTAGAGGTTGTTTTTTCATGAACCAGGGACGACATAGTTACTCGAAAGGTATCAGTAGTTCATAGACCATGAGAGTGTAAAATTTTATCAAAGCGTCAACTTTAGAAGAAGCCTGATATGGAATGAGGTGTAACTCCGAAAGTCCTCGAAGATTAAAGGATTGGACACAAAAGCTTGGAAGAATTTGGATATAGTGGACGAGAAAATTTAGTCTAAAATTTTTTACAATGGCATCCACTATTGTTCCCAGATGGGAATGATAAAGGTCGTGTGGCAACCGAGGACACAAAATCTGGGCCGTCCATTCGCCGCTTGCTACATTGTGGCTCTCGTCAAAGGAGAAACATGGACCATCCACTCTGTCGTCAGATTAGAGGCGCGCTACCAGCCGTTGGATGTATAAAGGGGCGGCGGCAGCCGTCCGATATGAGCCAACGTAGCCTTCTTTTTTGTGTCCGTCTGCGAGTGGTGTGTGGAATTTTAGGGTTTTCCAGGCAGGGTGCTCATCGATCCTTGGTTGCGAGGAGCAATGGCCGCGGCTATGGCGCTCAACAACACGTTGAGCCTCGCTGGATCTCAGTTCATGGGGCAGAGCGTCAAGCTTTCTACAGTGAATTGCTCGCCGTCCGGCCGCAGCGCCTCTTTGGTCGTCAGAGCTGGGGGATACGATGAGGAGCTCGTCAAGACTGCTGTAAGTGCTCGATTTTGCTGCGGAAATCCTGGAAAAAGGTTTTGCTGACTGGAAGATTTCCATTTCTTGCGATGTAGAAAACCGTGGCATCGAAGGGCCGAGGAATTCTTGCCATGGACGAGTCCAACGCGACCTGTGGCAAGAGATTGGCATCGATTGGCCTCGACAACACCGAGGACAACAGACAAGCTTACAGGGAGCTCCTGATCACCACCCCTGGCCTGGGATCTTACATTTCTGGCGCGATTTTGTTCGAGGAGACGCTCTACCAGTCGGCGAAAGGAGGCAAGACGTTCGTGGATTGCCTCAAGGAGCAGAACATCGTGCCTGGAATCAAGGTCGACAAGGTAAGACTTCTGATCTCTTTCTTTCCTTTTGATCTAACACTTTTGATCTAACACTAGGGTCTCGTTCCACTCGCTGGATCCAACAACGAGTCGTGGTGCCAAGGACTTGACGGTTTGGCTTCTCGCTCAGCTGCTTACTACGGCCAGGGTGCGAGGTTTGCGAAGTGGTAAGCCTTGGATGGATTTCTAGTTTGTCTTGACATATTTTTTGTTTGTCTAACAAACAATGTTTTTTCTATCAACAGGCGAACAGTCATTAGCATTCCAAACGGTCCTTCCGAGCTAGCAGTGACTGAAGCCGCTTGGGGCCTTGCTCGTTATGCCGCCATCTCTCAGGTTGGAACAATCAAAACTTTGCCTTTCACTGATCGCGTTTGATGGTTCCTCTCAGGACAATGGATTAGTGCCAATTGTTGAGCCTGAGGTTCTCCTGGACGGAGAGCACGGGATTGACAGGACCTTGGAGGTTGCAGAGAAAGTCTGGGCCAAGACCTTCTACTACCTGTCACTGAACAACGTCCTGTTCGAGGGTATCCTCTTGAAACCCAGCATGGTCACTCCCGGCGCAGACTACAAGGGAACCAAGTCCACTCCCCAGGAAGTCGCCGACTACACGCTCAAGATGCTCCACCACAGAGTTCCCCCCTCTGTTCCCGGCATCATGGTAAAGTTTCTCCTTTTCAGTTCCAAAATCGAACTTTTCTCATGATTTTTCTTTGCCAGTTTTTGTCTGGAGGACAATCCGAGGTGGAGGCGACGCTCAACTTGAACGCAATGAACCAGAGCCCCAACCCGTGGCACGTATCCTTCTCGTACGCCCGTGCTTTGCAGAACACGGTGTTGCAGACATGGAAGGGACTTCCAGAGAACGTCAAGGCGGCTCAAGACGCTCTCCTTGTCCGGGCCAAGGCAAACTCCAAGGCGCAGCTCGGCCAGTACACGGCCGAGGGAGAATCCGACGCTGCCAAGAAGGAGATGTTCGAGAAGGGATACACTTACTAAGAAAGATCGATCGAGCGAGCGAAGAACAGCAAGTTCATTCATGGCGACAAAAGAGACGATCGATCGCAGCGAGGCAGTATAACTTTCTGGACTAATAAGAAAACAATTTTTATGAGAAACAAATTCCAATTTTTATGTAGTTTGCCCCTTAATAAACTAAGCTATCTCGTCACCGTCTGTTAAAAAATCGATCTTGGCCGTCGGCTTTATAGCCACGTGTTATTACAGCTGATGTTTTTTTCTTTTTTATGTTGTGAGTTGTCTTATAAGGAAGAACAAGCTCTCTTCGTTTTGGGGAATGGGAAGGAATCTAGACGCGGACGATCGCGAAAGCCATGATTATAATGGAGGCGAGCGCGAGGAATCGAGCAAGATGAGTACCAATTCTCCGCGACTAACGCTGCCGCTGCTCAAGCGCGTCGAAGATCTGGAGCTAAACGTGAGTTTCAATTCGTGGGTTAAAAATTGCAATGTTTCATTCTCCTGCTCCTGTGGATTTCTTTCTCCCCAGATGAGATCACTGGAAGGGCGTTACAGTCCGAGATCGGTGATTGTGGATAGTGGCGCCAATTGCTGGTCTTCGTCGTCCGCGCGATCGTCCAGCCTCTCCACTCCATCCAGCGCCAGGATCAAGCCAATCCTCGATGCTCTGGAGGAGGTCGAGAAGAAGGGAACGCTGGTAGAGCGCGTCGCGCACTTGGAAGATCGGCTAGACACGGTAAAGTGCTCGGATTTCTCCATTTCTCCTCGAAAAGCTCTCATTTTCGGTCTGGAATTTGGGAGAATTGGCCAATTTCCCCACGCTCCTGACGATCGCACCTCGTGGACGCAGCTGAGCATGCATCTCCACAGCGGGGAGTGGACAGCGGCGCAGGTTCCAGCGCTGACGTCACCAGCAGCGGGGAAGGCGGCTGGACACGTGGCAGAGGCGCGGCCGGAGGATGCTCCAGCAGGGCGCGGCCAGGTACGATCAGCGATGTCTAGAAATAGGAAGAATATGCCGCGCTGGCGCGCCGGCATTGGCTTAAATGCTATGGGGGCGAGATTCTCGTGGGGCGTTTGAAAATGGAAGCAGCGATTAGAATTATTGTGATAGTTGGCTAAGCAACAGAACTTATCAGTATTAACAATGTTTTTTTGTTGCAATGCAGAGTGGCGAAGAAACCAATCCCCAGAAGGTGAAGAAGAAGAATAAAAGGATATCAGAGATGCTGAAGAGTTGCTTACATCCAGTACCATCTCACTGAAAGTGTGCAAGCTGAAAAAGATATATAATCATATATCAGTTATATTTTGGATATTCTCACGGCCATGTGGCTCGGATTTCTGCCACTCGTACTTGCTGCCAACGGGTTCGTGCATGGGTGGCTCTCTCCCAATTGATCCAGGCGATCAACACTAACTCTTTCACCAGCTTGTGACTGCAGAGTATCAGTCCCCACGATGCTTTGATAATAAGTAACCTCTTGTTAGAATGATCTCACGCATTATGTTTCCTTGTATGTACCACGGTTACTGCTGGATGATCTTGACACTGCGTCCTGGCCCGGAAAATCTTGTTGCATGGATGGCTCACTCTTGGTCCCTCTATACCTTGCTTTTTACTATGAACTCCCGGTATAATTATATTATATTATTTATAATATATCCTGTATATACTGGAGAATTTACATAAAGGTCATGAATTCTTTTGAGTAAGGTATATCAAGAGAAAACGCTTTGATCCTGTCACAGTTATCCGCCATATGGTTCTGTTCCATCATTGAGTCCGCCTCGGCAAATATGCAGAGCCCCACCTTGTGTAGCTCTCAACAGGTTTGGTCCAGTCCTCTGTCCTCCGATTCGCCTAGCATCTTCCTGGTAAGTGTGTTCAAGAAAATTGGTTGGTGATCCATCTGTTCCTTGGATCAGGGCCATTTTAATTTGAAGTTGCATTTGAACTGAGGCCATACGTTGAACAGTTTACCAGAAAAAGTGTGTGCATTTGTCATCTTGAGAGGAGCGTCTGAGAAGAGCTCTGCACTAGACAAGCTGTGCGAATTGCTGATTAGCTTGGGATCTGGTTCCTAATTCTGCAGTGTGTTCTTTCCTATCTGGGAGGACTTTGAGGAATTGGTCCTGCAGCAAGACCCTCCATGGCTGGTGTCCAGGCATGAGCAGCCTCATGAAGATTTTGAACAGGAGTGCCTCGATGATGTTGAGGCTGCCTTCGTGCTTAGGGTGTGTGACCGAGTGCTAGTCGACTTTTGCACCACCTCGTGATACGCATGAAGACCATCAGCTAGTTTATTTCGTGGATCATTCATTTATCCATGATTGCTCCGAGCAGGATGCTGTTCACTACCATACACCATCCCGAGAATAAGAGCTTCTTGCTTGCCCAGCTTGAGTTGATCCCAGTTTCAGCACCGCTTTCTGATTCTGAGGTTCTGGCTCATATTGCCAGCTGATCTGGAAGCTGAGGTAGTGATTTTGTCTCTTCTAGGTTCAGCCACGTGAGCTCAGTGTCCATATCTTTTGATCTCAATGCTTCGTTGAAGTACAGGTCGCAGGTTTTCCGCGGAGTCCTCTGCCCCCAGTCCTATGTCATCCACAAAGGCTGAGGGAAGAAGATTCTTTGCCACCCCTTGCATGTCCTGTAGGGCAGATTGACAGCTTGGGAGCACAATACTCCATCTCTAAGGCTGGAAGCTGAGCTTTATTCCGGGCCCTTGGATCATCTGTTGACGAATCGCAGCTATTGAATTTTCTTCCAATGATTCCCAGCGCACTCCGGCATGCGATTTGATTCACGATTTGGATTGATCCCAAGTCGGCAAGAAGAAATTCGGTGGGGATCTATAGCATTGAAAGCCACTATGAACTGAACTTAGTGACGTTGAGAACTTGTGCAGTGCTCATTTTTCAAACGGCTTGAGATGGCTGTGCCCGTGAACTTTTAAGTTTTCTCCAAAGAATCATGTGGATCTGGCCCTAGTTGTGGTGAGGTCAGTCTAGAAGAGAACCTCCCCATTCCTCCGGTGGATGTTCATGACACAGCCACACCAAGTCTTGTGCTTTTGCTTTAGGGAGTGGATTTGGCAAACTTTAAGACCTCTCAGCTTTCTTTCTAGTGCTTCCCACTACTTAACCCCTGGCCCAACGCTTGAGTTGTGGAACTTTCGGATCCAGTGATCCTGGGACGATCTCTTCACTGCCTAAATGGATGTGCAGACCTACTTTTAGGCAGAGTGAGCTTGAGCCAAGGGACTTGCTGCAGGTGGTGCTGGCAATCCGAGAGAGAAGGGACAAATAGGGTGTGCTTTTGGGATTCACTGGGATTTGCACAACCAGGCTAGGCATGAGATTGACGAGATGGTGCCATGTTCAACCAGATTCATCCCAAGTGAAGCTGAGGAGCAGGTGGAAGATAGAGGTGAGCTAGGAGGCCCAGTCCAATTTTGTTAAGAAGGCTTCTATTATTTATTAACCTCTAGAAAACCATAGAGGTGCCGGTTATAACATGCTTGAACGAGCAGGTTTGGTAAGGGGGATGAGGTCAAACTTGAACTTCTGTTAGTGGACAATGTGTCCTAGAAGCTTGAATACCTTTATGAAGGACTCAGGAGGACAGCAATAAAGATGGTATTAAGAGCAAGCCATGCCTCGGGTAAGGTTTGCAAATTTCGTGAGCAAGGAAGTGTGAGGAGTGCTTTTTGGGTCATTGCACTTTGAGTATATTTTGTTTCTCAACATGATTGGAGAGTTCTAAGTCCAAAACATGTGATTTGGAGCCAAGAATTAGGAGGTCAAGGCATCCATGATATATAAAGTTTGGGCAAATTAGAGATTGTTGCAGTGGCTTACTAATATACCAAATTGTAAATTGTAATAGTTAATGAAAGTTTATGAAGTTCAAACAGTTTAAAATATTTAAAGTAATCAAATTTAGTGCTTTTGCCTCTTAAGTCTTCCATGGATGCCAAATGCACAAAGTATCCTTTCATTCCTTATTTGGGCAAACAACATAAGAGGAAAGGATGTTTTATTTGCCTTATGGTTCAAAATTACATGTAAAGGACATCCACTTTTTGACTAGGTCCTTCACAAGTACATGAATCCTTTTAACGAGTCCTTTTAAATATTTTTCTTTTACTACCACGACAGCAAAAGATTGGTATTGTTAGATCCTTTTATTAATCTCTTATTCAAGTATTAGTAAACTAGCATCTGTATTTAGCTAAATAAATATAAAGTAGAAACTCTTCATACTTAGCTTGGCTTTTAGTTTTTATTTGCTTTTTTTTATACTAGTTTTGACAAAAAGCATTAGTCCTTCAATATTACTATATAATAAATTATTGTGTCCATCAAACACCATATATATTGGTCTCATTTAGTCTTATTAGATATTTATAGAAAATGTCTAGATCAGCAATTGAGGCATATCTATGAAATGTAGAGGTTATCTTACACAATAGTATTATAAAATTCATAATTTAACAAGATAAGGCTTCTATCTAAAATTACTATAAAGTAAAAAGTGAAAACTACCTACTCTAGATTAAAATTTGAAATTATATGTTTCTCTTCTTTCAAAAACTAGGGTTCTCTAGTTCTTCTATTTTGACTTCCAAGAGTTCATCTTTATTAAATGGTGTCTTTTATTTACTAGCAAAACACAAAAAAAAAAACTTGTATAATTTTATTGAGTACAAAACTAATAAAGAGCTTTTCAAGAGGGAGGACTAACTTTAGAAGTACTAATGGAGAGAGATGTTACTTGTGAATTACATGCTAAGGTTGTTTTGATTGTATCAATTGAAACCATTTGTTTAATGGTGTTCACTTCCATTCACAAATATTTACCTTACCTCATTACCATAAAAAAAATGTTAAAACTATACTTTATTTTGCACTTTCTTTAGCTGATTTCTCTTTCCCCTTTTCTCTAGTTGGAGCATTTGGGCTGTTGTTGCAATGATCATTTGCACCTATACCCATATAACCATCACCTTTAATTCTCTCATCTTTATCATTGTAAAATTTGTTGCATTGAGCTTTCAAGTTTTCAAACACCTCCATTTGTATTTGAACATATTATTGAGAAATATTGATTAACAATCTAATTTGTACTGATTTGAAAATTTCTATTTTTTCTAACTTCCATGCAATATTAATTTATATTAATTCTTCCATCTTGTTTTAATTTTATAATTAAGTTCTATTTTACCTTGGCTATACCTTAAGTTATGGCCACTCTAAACATATGTTTGTATAAACTTATTTATATCTTTAAGTGTCTTTCAATCCAAATTTCATGATGCAATCAAGAACAATATCCTAAGCATTATTTGTTCACAACCACACATATGAAAAAAAATGACAATTTATATGATGTCTAAAACTTTAATTATTCTTTGAGCTTTTTCATTGCCTTTTGATTATGTAGGAGTGGATCATTTATACAACCTATCAGAATTCAATATATTTTGTAATGTCATTCCTTTTAACCCACTTGAAATCTTATTTAAACCCCCATGTAAATGGATTTAATTCTAGAAGCCGAATGTCAACTAATTTATAGTTAATCTTAGTTCTAACAACTTTATTAAACTCTATTTAGATTTTTTAGGGTCCCTCTTGTAACTACTTATATGTTATCCACAAAAGCATTAGACTTGAGTTCAACCTCAAGAACCAGTGCTATATCTTAGAGCAAATTAAGTAACATCTATCCTTGAGGACCATTTTGCCTTACTAAGTAATATGATAGAATATTGCCTACAAAAAGAAACAATAAGGGACACCCTTGCCATATTAAATACTACTATATATAATGTTTTCAATTGTCCATCAATTGTGACTTTGCTAACTACATCTTAGTATAGAGCAGCTGTTTATCTTATAAATTTATTTGGCATACCAATACTCCTCATAATTGCCTATTAAAATATCAACTCTATAATCAACTTTTTCATAGTTTAATAAAATCAAGGCTTTCAACAATTTTTGATCATTGATTTGTAATTGTTAAAAGTACCTTGTGTACATTATCCATCAACTATCTCCCTTCCACAAAACTCTTTTATGTATAATGTAGTCTCTGATAATATTGATCTTAATCTCTTAGTAAATACCTTCACAATTACCTTGTATAGCATATTGAGCATTAATATCAATCTTCAATTCTTGATAAGAGCTGCATCATCATATTTTTATATAAATGTTATAATCTTAACAATTGCTCATTCTAGCCATTTTCCAATTGCTATCACATTGTTCTATATATGTAATAACTCTTGTCCAATCCAATCTAAGTATGGTGCTTCCTTTTTTAATAATCTAAGCATTTCATATGATACTTAGTGTCTTTACTCCAAAGGTTTGCTTTAAATAGCTAATAATAATATTCTTTCACTATGTTGTGCATTTTTTTTAGGCTTATGTGCATCATACCATAATCATCCTTAAAAGGGGATGATACCTTAAACTTTAT